CTCTCTCTCCCTCTCTTCCTCCTCCCCTATCTCTTTCTCCTCCTCTCTCTTTCTCTCTCTTCATCTTCCATCACCACCGCCTCGCCGTCGCTCTTCTCCCACGTTCTAAAGCCTTGACCTTAGCTTCTCCCCCCCCCCCTCGCCTCTTGATATGTAACTAACCCTTCCCCTATCACTTGTTACATTGTCAGGGAACGAACAGTGAAAGAAATTTGTCCTCACTTGGTGGAGAAAGTGGGCAGGGGAAGGGCAGCCGGTTCCTTGTGCCGCCAAGAAGGAAAGGAAAAGGCACTTGAGAAATTGGAAGGAGACGAGTCCGGAAAGGGACTAGAAAGAATGATAACTTGAAGCAAGGTCAGTTGACTCAACCAGACCCCCGGACTGCACGACTATGAGAAGAGGATGGATTGTCTGAGCACAAAAAGAAAGGGAATGGGAAGTAAGTCAAGGGCAAGGGAAGAAAGATAGGCATGTGGGAAGGGCTATGTGTTGACCCCAATGGGGGATTGTATTGGCCTCGACATTTGTACTTGTGATTGGTTGTGCAGGTGAGTAGTTTGGGATGACTTAAGCGGGATTGGATCGGGGAGATGCCAGCAAAGGGGAGAGAAACGGATGAGCAAAGAGGCTATGGGCCTTAGTGTAAACTCCATCAGTGAATGGGCCTTGGTGAATGCAGTTTTGTGTGTGGGTTCGGCAATGAACAAAGTCTTGATTGATTGAAGTATGATGTAGCCTTTGCCTGCGTAAGAAGGCCCCTAAAAGAGTAAGGGGCATGCGTGGCCTAAGGATGACGCTTAGCCTACGCACAAAGAAGAAAATTTCTCAATGACCCCCCCTCTGGACTGCTTGAGTATTGAAAGGAGCATTTCCCTGAGAACACAACCAAGAATCAGAAAACTTGCGCTTGCGGAAACGATTAGTGAGACTACCACCCGTCGTGAGGGCTGAGCTACATCCCCAATGTCAAAGCTCTCTCGCTCGATGGCCCACCCCCATCCATCTCAAAGCACTAGGTGGGGGTGGCCCCGTGACGAATGGCCCGCGCCCTGAGCGTGAGCGTGGGCGGACCGAACCAACTGGGACCTGCAGTGGGGGCGACACAGGCTCGAAAGTCTAACGGGGTTAGGCCTTACAACGTTCAAAAGGTGGGTTCACCGGAGACTTCACCAAATCTATATATTGGGTTATGACTAGCTTGTCAATGTGGGGTCATATGTGGGGTCATATGTGGGGTCATAGATACTGTCTTCATTTTCACTAAGTCTTGACTTCGACATTGAAGGTTGCTAGCCTTTGGCAAGCTATCGAAGTAATGTTGCAGAGCTTCATGAAGTTGTCGTCATGTAAGAATGCAACCAAACTACGAGGAGTTTGGCTAGTGGCCCAACTACATAACCATGCCATGTTACTATACTCCCTCACCATGTTCATAGGAGGGTGCAGCCTAAGTTCGTGAAGTAAGGCTACTGCTGGACTCATCGAAGTCAGGCTATAACCCAACTTCAGGTTACTGCTAAACTTACCATAGTCAGACTACAACCCAACTATGAGATCTAATTGAGGCATTTTTTTTCCTACTTTTTTGTTGTTGCTTTTCTTGTGATTGTTCGACAATTTCTTCGACTACGATATTAAAAAAAATTGGATTCATTTTTAAGATTCAGAACATTCTCAGTTGAGCGTCTGGATAATCTGGAATGCGACGTGGCATACCCGGTTGCCGTTTTTTGTCGTTTGAAGAGCAGAAGCTCTAAGAAATGCAACAAAGTCTTCGAATCATTGTCCAATGCTTGAATCAAATACCGTGGCATGATCAAAGCGGATGATCGTAAACGTTGTCCTCCTTCCCGCTCTCAAATAAAACAATCCATAAAATCCTTAATTCATCACTTCGTTGGCCAGTAAGAGACGAAACTCGACCATAGTGAAGGTGTACGGTTACCAAAATGTGCCTTTGTACTTAGTAATCTATGAATTACCTTTTCTGAATTGAACATTGTTTGATTTTGTTTTTGTTTAAGTAGCTCAGTTGGTTAGAGCAAAGGACAAAAAATCCTTTTTGGTATCATGTCATTGCATGCACATAGCCACCTGGGCGAAATAGAGGGGTGTTGAATTGGTGTTCAAAATAGGACACAAAATAATGTCTTATTTTAACGAATAACATGTTCATTACATTTGGACTAGAGAGCAACCAAATAATAATAATAATAAATTCAAATGAGAGGTCTGATCTAGCGACTCGGTCTGATCAGTCCGAATATGAGATCACCTCGAGTCCATTCTGACCAGTTTCGTGAACGTACAACAAATCAAACAATGAGTGACGACATGCAACAATGGAGAATTGAGTGGTGTGCAAGGTGCGAGTCAAGCCACGGATGGTGCGATAAAAGCATGTGAAACCTCTCAACTGAGACCCCCTTTGGCAGCAAGTGTCCTAATCAAAGAATAAACTCCGAATCCTGGTTAGAAAGAGAATGAAAAAATGTCTAACAGATTTGGGTCCAATGGGCCCTTCTTGCTTAGGCCCTGTCCCACGTAGGCCGTGACCGAGTCCCAACCAAGAGGAGTTCCGTGTGGACCTACTTTCTGCCTCTGCCGTACTGAAAAGCGAATTTCAACTTTCAAAGAGAACCTACAGACTACAGTCGTTCAGAGATGACAAGGCAGAGCATTGTACAAGGACTCAACATTCGTAGGTGCACGCAGAGGAGTAGTTCACACGGGGGGGTAAGTAGTTCACACACTCGAACACACAATCAAGACCGCAGAGGAGTAGGAAAGAAACCAAGAATAAAGCCAGCAGGACAATCAATACCATGCACACACACATGGGCATCCTGTAGGTGCACGACACTTACCTGAGTGTCCTAAGCTTCGAGATGAATAAAACTCACCCCCTTCTCATATGATCCTCCAAACCCTTGTAACGCTACCCCAACACTAGTGTCCTATCTCCTAGGAGGGTCTGCTCCAACACCCAAGTGCAACACCGGATCCCCCCCCGATGCTGAAGAACAAAGTAGCAGCTTGCAGTCCGTAGATGCAGAATGGCTGCTTTCCCTCAAGCTCACCTACTTGAGGGAAGCCCTAAAGTCGCCAAGTGTCTCCCTTGAATCAGATTCCAGGTGTGAGTGCCTCTCACTGCCGCCTCTCTCAAATTGTTGCATGAAGTCTCCACGAAATATCTCACCACCCCAAAATTACTCTCAAGCAACCTGGTCAGGTTTAGTGTCGACCCAACACGACCTAACCAAGTGGGGGCAGCTTCCCTTAACCACGCTGCCCCACTTCCCTCACGAATCAACCCTAACCCTAAGTGGTCCCCTCAACCACTCAGGTTAGGGTTAGGGCAGCAAAGTCAACTCTCACCAGCAAGCAGAATCCGCTCTGATACCAATGTTATGATCCTGGCCAATTTCGAAGTACAAAGTCATGAGAAAGCACAATGTCGTCCAATTGCAAAAACAAATGAATGAGCTTGAGAGGAGAGTCAGAGAAAGAAGAAGAAAAGGAAGAAAGAAAGAAGAAGAAGATGTACACCAGCAAAGACCAATGATAATTCCCTTCTTCTCGCCAACACTCTCCTCCTCCTTTTCTCCTCCCCACTTTATTCACAATAAATAATAATAATAATAATGTTGAATGGCTGAACCAGAATCAATGCCCAAATTCCTCTTCTACTGCAGGTACAACATGAGGTCCACCATAGCCATGGCCACCCTTCTCCTTCCTCGTTCGAAGGCCGAGGCTATGGCGGACTGCTAGGGCCTTGCCCTGCTGTGCAAAAGACAACTCAAAGCAGTTATGGCTACTCTGGCTCAGGCCGCCATGCCTGACTCTGCCTTGAAGCTTCTTGGTGCAGCTCTATCCCAGCGGGGCCTTCCAGATGCAGCGTCCACCGAGTTGATGAACATGGCGTCCACCATAGCCAGGTAAGTACCTCTGGCACTCCCCCCTTCCTAGTCATCGCCTTCCTCCTCCAGCCCGAGCTCCTCCACCATAGCCAAGGTGGGGAGCTGGGCGCTCCTCCTTCCCCAGCAGCGGTGCTTAAGCGCTGCTTCAGCCAGTGCTGCTCCAGCCAGCACTCCAACCAGTGTGCCGCCAAACTTGCACACCGAAGAATGAGGAGGAGCACTTCGCTCCTCCTGGAGATATAGTGGTCTGCTTGCCTCTTGGGCGGTGACTTCCAGGCCGCACGGCTTCCAAGCAACCAGTACCTCCTCCCTTTCGGAGGGAAACATCATTGCAGACTCTGATATTGCCCGTACGGGCCCTAGACTCAGACTGGTTGGACTGGTACCCGACTAGACCTAGCCTACAACTACTGGGCCTCTAAACATGCCAACTTCTTGCTCGGCCTCGAGTACCCGGCACGTCTACCTCTACTTGGTGTGGTACCGGCCTACCTGCTACTTGAGTGTTTCCCCGCTGCTCTCATGTCGCGGGCCTCTTTCCCCGCCACTCGAGTGTTTTCCCCATTGCAACCCTCAATGTCACGGCCACAGGTCAGTACCGGCCCTTCGGGCCTCCCGTACGGACGAGTACCGTTGCGGGTCACATACACACTCAAACCGACAAGCACTCAGACAGGCACGCAGACCAGCAAGTACGCACACACACAGACTTAGAAAACTCAGCAAGAAGCGGGAAAATCAGCAAGGCATACATTCCATTGGGAAAACTCAGAAACTGCTAAGTGTTTCAGTCCGTGTTTGGCAGGTCCTTACACAGGTTACAGATACAACATTCCAGACAGGGCAAATGTAGGTCCACAATGTACCTCTCCAGTATGCCTGCACCAACAGAGATGCACTCTTCATTCTCTCATAGTCTTTACGCATCAGGAAACTCTGAACCATGTGCTGGATCTTGACTGCAGCCTCATTGAGCACATTTGACCTCTTTGTATCCAAAATAGCCATCTGCCCTGCCCGTAGGAACACCTTTGTCTTGCCAATCTGCGCAGAATGACTAGCAATAATCAGCCCAGGCCCAGCCTGCGACCCTGGCCAAAACTGAGAACATCCTGTACATGAGTGATTCCTCTCCGGAACATTTTTTTAGCACATGATTTCAGTAAGTGCACCACTCATCAGCGGCTTTTGATACAAGCTGCACTTGATAAAACATCCAAAGTTTTACATCGACGATCAAACTGGGAATATGGTTAGATTTCCAGATCACAACATATGAAAATGACAGAAGACACCAACCTGATAGCCCTTGAGGTTGCACTTCTCCAAGAGATTTTGGCAAGCCACTTTCTCATCCGCACTGCCATTCACAACAACACCACAATAACCCAACCATCCAGCTCCGTGAAAATGAATCGTCAATCACCCCCGGAGTTGCTGGCATCAGCATAGTCTCAGCCTTCCACTGTCCTAAAGAGTACATATCACAATACTTTTTATGTCTATCCCATACTCGAGCTGGGAGCAAGGGTAGCCCCATATATGCAGGTAGAGGGAGTTCACAGATCAGAAAAAAGCTTGAAACAGATCCCACAGGAACAGCAGGGTGCAGAATCACTAGCACTCACGGCAAAGCCCTGGAGAAGAGTGCAAGGGGAGACACCACTACAAAGAGCATTCAAAATCCACAATGAGCACATCACTAATGCGGGTGAGCATACCTTTCTATGAGTACTTCAGGATGCAGCAATCCAAACCTATCAAGGAACTCCTCGAAAGTGCGGCGTGTAGGGAACCCTGCACAGCTGATTCGGACAGCCTCCAATACACCCTGGTGATTCAGTAAACAGATCAAGCGACTGTCAGGCAGTGAGGTGTGCTCTCTCTCCTCCAGGAAAACAAGGACTGACCAGCATATGCGCAATTGATCCATTTCATGTCTTCCCACCAGCAACAACAACAAGATTCACAACCATAGCGTGTGCGGCTACACCCACACTTCGTAATCAACAACATCCCAGATCTTGGAATACCCACTTTTGTGATGTCATGCATCCGCAACTATCAGTAAACGCACACACATCTGGGTGTGCCTCTTCCACCTCCCTCTCACTCTCAACCCGCCTGTTTCACATCTTGACGGTTTGCTCCCACTTATCTCACATTCCTCATAAAAACAACTCTTCATCGTTCACATTGTCGATGTGTCCAATCCAACCACATGTTCCTCTCTCTCTCTCTCTCTCTCTCTCTCTCTCTCTCTCTCTCTCTCCATGAGCACATTTATTATAGATCTCCCTTTTTCCCGCATATATTATCTCCCTTTTTTCCCAAGACACAAGAAGTGCCAAAAAGACTCAGCTCACCTGGAAGACCACCAAGCACTAACTAAAGAAGACTAGAGCATTTATGATGTTTGTCTGTGGCTCTGCTTGGGCATCTGTGGTGATGGATGTCTATCATCAGATAGGTAGTGCACATACTCGAAAGACCACGAATGGGAATGAAAGACTCAAAGACTAGCAATGCGACGAACAAAGAAGCAATCTGAATCAAAATCAAGACAGTATAAGATGACGTAGCACAGTGGAAGACAATCATGATCCGACAAGGTAGACTCAGAACTCGACACACAAACATCATCAACAGTGGAAGGGGGCAAGGATGGCATACATAAATGGACGAAAGGTCCCTCCTTGCTCGCACACACATGGGGACAAGAACCACGGATAATTCAGGTGACAAGAGACGAAGGAGAAAGAAGGGAGAAGACAAGAAGAATAGCTTGAGATAGCTGACAATAGTCCCTCCCAGCAATGTCCAACAATCGTCTCCCCAAAATGTCGAATCTGGATCCTGCGCACTAACAGGCCAATATAGTCACTCTCTGAACTCTCTCTCTCCCTCTGGAATAAGGAGGAAGTAGTGGTTATGGCGAGTCAGAGCAAGAATCAGGAAGTAGAAGAAGAAGAAGAAGAAGAACTCTGTGTGTGTGTGTGTGTGTGTGTGTGTGTGTGTGTGTGTGTGTGTGTGTGTGTGTGTGTGTGTGTGTGTGTGTGTGTGTGTGTGTGTGTGTGAGTGAGAGAGAGAGAGAGAGAGAGAGAGAGAGAGAGAGAGAGAGAGAGAGAGAGAGATGCTGATGATGACGCCCATGAATACTTCCCGGAAAGGATGATTACTCCAACTGCTGCAGGTCACTGAAGAAGGTCGATCCCAGACCGGGATGAAGTCCCAGCTATGGGGCCCAGCTAAATCTCTCTCCCCTGTGGCTAAAGCCACTTCCAGCCTCTCCTCTCCAGACTACTCTCCTACTCCTCTAACGCTGTTACTCTAACGCGGCTCTCCCAAACTGGTGCTGTACTCCAGCAGAGTGAAGCTCAACAGGTGTCCCAAACTGAAGGACAGGCCCAACTATTTGATGCGCTCTCTCTGTTTGACCATTGCTTCTCGGCTTGAGGGACGTCCGCATCCACCTCACGAGTCCAGTTCAAAAATCAAACATAAACCAAGTGTTGTGGTCGCATACGATCTCCTTGGGAAAGCTCTTTGTACGTACCCAACGAGCAAAGAATGCCTCGGCCTATTCTGGTGCTTTGGTGTGATAACTGCATGGAAGCAACATCGCAAACTTAGTTGGTCCACCACCATGAGGATGTCATCAAAGCCGGACTTGTGCTTGCGAAAAGGTCCAGTGATGTCCCTAGCGATTGAAGTGTCGGAAGACTTCCCGGGTGTAAGTCTGCAGCAGCGCCACCAAACCCTGACAAGATGACCTCTGAGGACGAAGCTGCAGCTATGGCTGCAGCGCCACCACCCTGGAACCCCACTCCGGAGGAAGGTCCAGCAGGGCACCAACCTCTCTCGCCTCCAGCAGACCTCAATAGCCCAGACCTCTGTCAGCCCCTACGTGCTGGCAGAGTACAGAGCAGGTCCCAGCTATGGCCAGCGCTCTGAAGGTCTGGCTATGTCTGTCTCCTTCCACGCTGAGCCGTCACCACTTCCGGATCACGCGTAGCGCAGCAGCGATGTACTCGGTACGAACTGCCAAAAGCCCTGAACCGATGTGCCCATTCTATCTATAGACTAACCTAGCCTAGACTCGACCTAGATCGGACTGACTGACTGACCGGTACCGTTTCTGTTTCGGCCTCTTGGCCTCTACTGGACCCGGTTATAGGCTATAGGACCGTCTATCAGAATAGGCCCTTAGGGCCTGTCTGTCCTAGGGGTAGCCCGGGCCTGCTATTCGCAGTTAGGGTAGTGGTAGGGAATTCTGTTTACCGGGCCTGCATTTTTCCCGAATTTACAGATATGTCCCTCACGAATTTCCCTCACAGGTAGGTATCTCAGTTAGCCCCCAGCCAAACAAAATTATGAATCTATACTACCTATACTACAGCCTCGACAGAGAGAGGCTACGGGCAACCAGAAAACAGCACGTCATTGCAGACTTACCCTCCCCTGGAGCGAGGACCTCCGAGCTAGTGGCGTAGGCATGCAGAGCGCCGAAGGGATACCCTCTTCTGTGCTGCCTCATATTCGAGGATAACTGACTTGACAGTCTTCAAAAGTTCCTTGCGAGTAAACCAACGGTCCTCAGTATGCGGCTGATACAAGAACTTCACAAGGTACTCCTTATCTGGACCTGTACCTGACTCACCCTCCACAGATTCTACCTCATGTCCTTTCCAGGGTTAGGGGGACCGAACTGAGGAGGCATGTCTGGGAATGCATCAGCTGGCAACAGCTTAGATGCACGGAAGACATGGTAGGTTTGTAGATGCAAAGAGACATCCACTATGTAGGATGGTCCAAATGGATCAGCTCCCACTGTATCTAAGACCTGCCATGGACCCATATATCGTGGCAACAGTTTAGGCAAAATGTTCTCCTCTCGCGACAGCTCAGAACTGAGTACCCACACCCAGTCACCTGTGCGAATAGTAGAAGGACGCCTGTGCTTGTTAGCCTGCTGAATCATAGCCTTTTGGGCTTTCAGCAGGTTGGCACGGGCGCGCTTTATGTCCACACGGTAACGCCTGGTGAACTCTGCATTTCCAGGTGTCAGCGTAGGGGTAGCCTTATCGATCATATCATCGAGAGGCTGCCGTGGCTCACGACCCCAGTGCAACCGGTAGGGTGTGAAGCCAGTGGAGGAGTGTACAAACATGTTATACACAAGTTGTGCACGACCCAAATGGAGATCCCAGTCCTGCTGATCTGGACTGATCACATGACGCAGCAATTGGAACAGAATCTGGTTCATCACTTCAGCCTGTCCATTGGCTTCAGGATGACGACCAGATGTCATATCCAATCTGGAATGAAGGTAATCCCTGCAGTAGGATTGCCATTCATTGCTGCAGAAACGAGGATCTCGGTCACTGACAATAGAGATGGGTGGTCCATGATGTGTAACCCACCTGTCAGCAAATGCCGACTGAACGGCCGGAACGTGAGCCTCAACTGGTAAGGGGGTGCACTCTGCATATTTGGAAAACTGGTCTACACATACCATAACCTGACGCATACCACGAGGCGTGGTCCTACCCAAGTCAGTAAAATCAATCGACACTGACTGTGCAAGTTCATCTGGGATAGGAAGTGGTTTGAGTAGGCCAAGGGGAGGTCGACGCACAACCTTGTTCCTTTGGCATAACGCACAGGTTTCTACATAATGGAGCATGTCACTCCTCATCTCCTTCCAGAAGAAGCGCTGCGACAGGGCTGCATAAGATTTGAGGGCATCAAAGTGACCACGAGCATCATGACACTCTGACATCAAAAGTGTCCTCAGCTTGCGGTCCTGGCAATGCACAAGCGTTCCTCACCTCTGCTGCATGTGTACAGCAGACCTGAGACCAGAGTATATCCTGGTTCAGAGGCAGGATCATCCTGAAAATTCCTCACAATAGGCCCAAAAATCTCACCTTGGGGAAGCAAACGGGCAATGGTCTGATGAGTCTTCTCTCCAAATGAGTGAGCAAAGGAGATCAGGAAGAGAGCGCCAGGCCTACGAGAAAGGGCATCTGCTGCTCGATTGTAGCAGCCCTTCTTGTGTCTCAGTTCAAAGTCAAACATGTCAATGAACTAGATATAGCGAGCAAGTTTGTCATTCAGTTCTCCCTGGGACTTCATCCACTATAGGGTGGAGTGATCTGAGAAGATCTTGAAGTGTCTGCCCAAGAGGAAGTGCTTCCAATGCTTGAGCGCTGACACAAGAGCATAAAGCTCTTTCTCATAGGTAGAGTCCTGCAACTTCTTTGTTTTGATCTTCTTGCTCATATACTGGATAGGCTGCAGACCATTCCCATCATCCTGTTGAAGTACCACCCCTACACCATACCGACTAGCATCAGTAGTAAGCACAAAAGGCAGGGTAAGGTCAGGTAGCTTCAAGACAGGGGCACGAAGCAAGGCCTCCTTGAGACGTGTGAAAACCTCCTGATGTCCAAGGGAGATGCAATAGACGAGAGGTTCTGATGTCCAAAGAAAGGAAATGTCTTTCTTTGTGAAATCAGTCAAGGGAGATGCAATAGACGAGAGGTTCTGGATGAACTTCTTGTAATAGGACGCAAGTCCCAAGAATGACCGGACATCACGAATGTTAACAGGTCGCGGCCAGTCCTGAACTGCAGCAACTTTCGTTGCTTCAGGAGTCAACCCCTATCCAGAAAAGACGTGACCCAGATAGACCAAAGAGGGGACCCCAAAAGAGGACTTCTCTCTATTGATCTTGTACTGGTTATCTCCTAAGGCCTGGAGGACCAGAGCCAGATGTTGCGCATGCTCCTGGACAGAACGACTGAATATGTAGCGGACCTCTGGTTG